AGTGCTAGCATCTTAGTATTTTATTGATTTTTTTCTGCCAGAAGCTCAAGGATTTAATTCAGTGGATTAAAGTTGCCAGAAGAATACAAAACAAAATTGCCACAAAGGAATAAAAAAAATCCCCATTTATTAGTATGGAATTAGAAAGAGCAGCATGGGAGACAGTGTCCAATGAGACAGAAGAAAATAGCAAATGAATTTTTTTTTATTTGAGATTTATTTTTAGGACAGTGGTGCCAGTGAAATTAAGAACTGTAACTGCTAATATAGATCTATCCCACATATTGCATGAAAGTTTTCAAACTGAAAATCTGTTAAATTGTACTGTTGATTATCTGCATTAATTTTAATCTAATGTACTTGAATAATTTTTAACGTACTTTAATTATGTACTTTAATAATTAATGTACTTTAATAATGTACTTTAATAATTTTTCTACTGTAATAGTTCATATTTTACAATTTTTAATTTAAAGCTTAATTGCGGTTGATATTTTTGACTAGGTAGATTGATGATATAATTTACATTACAAATACAGTATCAGGAACTAATATTTTCTCTGACAAAAGGTAATGTGACTGAAAGCATCTGGTAGAATATAGCAGACTGTTTGTAAAAAAAATAGTAAAAAAGAAAATGCATCAAAAATTAAGTTTTGTTCTCTTCTAAAATTACTATACCACGTTAACTGCTGTTAGTCAATAAACTTAGTGAAACTTTTCTATTTACCTGACAATAATTTTGCTCATTAACACAAAAAGTATAACTATTTGTTTTAAAATATAACTGAAAATTAAAGAAGATGCAGCACAGTGTAATGGAAAAGTGGCACAGAATAAGTGCTCTCACTGAAAAAAATATTTTTACCTAAGATATTTGTATCAGATTTTCATGTTATATAACAGTACTAGAGGCTACCATAACATTTATATTTATATAATAAATAGAGATAAAAAATAACATATAAAACCTGTTATAACATACGCTTTCAGTGTATTTTAATAATGTAGAATATTATGAATTGGAAAGCATTCCTAATTAGAGGCTTTGAAGATATATATATATATATCAGTGGCATACTGCCTGCTGGCAAGCATGAGATTCTCAATTTGATTCCAGCAGAAAGAAAAATAATTTAAGTAGAAAGACCAAAGATCATCACACCAATGCAAAGAATTAGAAAGTGTACCATATAGATAGCTACAAAAAAATGTGTGCTATAGATATTTTTATATCTCATAAAATAACAAAAGATAAATAGCTATAACAGACATTACACAATGTAAGTCAACTTACTAAGATGTTATTTACTTTTATAAGCCACTACAGTAAATATTTTATTATTAATAATTTAATATTTAGTCATAGAGAAGATAATGACAGAACACTACACAAAAATCACACAGCTTTACCTCTCTTTTCACTGTACAATTCCACAAGAAACTAAATTGAAGAAAGGAAAGATGAATGCAGAAATAAATTCAAGAGACATACTGAGATCATGACATATCTTTCTTCAATGCCAAAACCATAAAGTAAGATTAAAAAGCAAAAGTGTACTGACACATCAGTTTATATATAATCATCTTGATTTGCCTTTGACTGGACTTAATTTTCTTAATTTATAACTAGACTATGGTGTATACTCAGGAGATACTTTATTTTGAATTCTTTAGGGTTGGTTAAATCCAGGACTGAATTATTACTCCACTGTGGACAATTCTTTGAAGATATTACCCATATTTTATTCACTTATACATCTTTTCCAAAATAGAGTAAAATAAATGATCAAAATATAATATCTATAAAAAATCAAAAGACTAGGTCAAACAATCTTTTTAACTATTAAAATCAACATATGATTAATTTAATGAGACTTAAGGGTCACAATAGTATCTAATACTTTACAGAATTATCAAGATATTTATACATTTGTTGCTGCTTTCAATCAAATTACTCAGTATAAACCTACCAATTAATAAGTATAAAACACTTCTGGAATAGTCTATCAGAATTTTTGTACATTAATTTACAAACAATCACATTTACACAGTCAGTGAAAATTATTTTATTTTATTTTGCCATTTTAAAAATTAATTAAGTAATATTGGTACACTTTATATATGCAAAATGATACATTCATGTTAGTCAATTTGTACCTGTATATGATATAACTTGATTTTTTAATCATTCTCCTCCCTCCTTTTACCCTTCTTCCCTTCCTTATTTACAAAAGCTTTGTTTCCATTCTTTCAAGAAGAAAATATAATTTTTTTATTATACATAAATGCAATTTTATGAGAAAATACTTTGCATCTTTCCTGTTTTTTCATTTTGTTTTGTTTTGGGTTTTTTTTTTTTCTTTTTCTGGTTAAAAATATGTATTGATATTCTCTCTCTTGGTCAAATCACCTACATAGGACTCATGTTTTTTAACAGTTGCATGTGCCAGAAACCACATATTTAAGAATTTCATTGCTGATTAACACTGGGGACTATTACCAGTGTAATTACAATGGTACTGTAAATTATTATGTACTCATTTGCATAAGCACAGTTATTGGTACAATGTATGTGAGATAAGTGTTTAATTTCAGATTTCTACATACTGATATCTAATATTACTGTATTTTTAGAGAGGCTATATTTTGTCTGTTTTTTATTATAATCAGCTATCTGTAACTTTGAAAGTTTGTTTCTGTGCAGTTCACTACTCCATTTGTCTGTGTGCTCTTATTTTTCCCTGTTTTTTTTTTTCTTTTTTAAATCAGATTTTATTGGTACATTTAGAGACAAGTAATGATCACATTCTTCATAAAGAATGCACTGTACGTGATATAACTTGTTTTTTTTTCCATTCCTTTACCTTTCCTTAAACACCAGCTTCCCTCCCCATGACAAAAAAACTTAGTTTTTATTTTTCCTTTTTTTTCTATTTCATTTTATTTTTTCCTTCTTTCCTTTCCTCTGTGCTCTTTTCTAATACCATCCTGTCTTCTTACCATGTGTGAAATAGGATTTGTGACACTTCTCATGCTGCTTTGTTTTGCACAGGATATTTTTTTTCTTTTTTATATTCTGGGCTGTTTGTATTTTCATGTACATTTTAGAAATTGATTTTTATAGCATTTTGAAGAACAGCCACTGGTATGCATTGCAGCTCTAGGTTGCTTTTGGGAATATGATTATTTTCACAGTATTAGTTCTGCCAACCCATGAACAGAAGAAGTCAGTGTTTTGTTTTGTTTTGTTTTGTTTTTATTTTTTGTTTTGTTTTGTTTTGTTTTTATTTTTTGTTTTGTTTTGTTGGTACCAGGATTCAAACTCACAAACTCATGCTTGTCAGGTAGGCACTTACCACTGAGCTAAATCCACGGCTAGGAGTCAGTGGTTTACAATTTTCATATGTAGTCTTTTTTTTTTTCTTGGTTAAATTTAAAACTATTGTGTACATAACCATTTTCCTATTTCTTTCCTAGAAGATTAATTGTGAGTGTACAGAATATCTGTTTATTTATACTCACAGATTATTTAATGCTACCACTATGCTGAATTCGTTTCTTAGATCTAGAAGACTTTTGGTGAAGGTTTCAGTTCTTTTAACTAACGGGTGATGTGTAGCAAGAATAATTTCATACCTTCCTTATTTGATCTCTTTTATTAGGTCTAATAACAATGTTCATGATGTCAAGTTCATTGCTCAAAAGTAATAATAAGAGTGGCATGTTGTATTAATGCTATAATTTTTATGCCACTATAATATGAGACATTGTACCATCCCGTAAAAGATGATAAACACATGGTCACATGAAAATACGATATTAGGGGGCTGGGGATTTAGCTCAGCGGCATAAGTACCTGCCTTGCAAGCAGGGAGTCATGAGTTCGATCCTCGGTTCCAATAAAAAGCAAAAAGACAAAAAAAATATGATATTGGCATGAAGAAGTAGGCAAAATATAGTAAAGAGCAAGGTTTTCAATCAATCTGTTTTCTGAAGTATAGAAAAGTTAACATGTTAGACAAATAGCACTGCAGAACAATGTCCTCAGCCATATGTTAATTGCTATTTTTCATACAAGGTCAGGCTAAGTTATTTAGACTTGCCTCAAACTTGTGATCCATCACACAATCTAATTGCTTGAATAATAGACACACACCACTGTAGCTGACTGTTTGACTTTTAAATCATTCTGACATTGGCTACTATTGCTCAGTAACATTAGGAAAGTCATTCAATTTTTCTATGAATCAATGCATCTATTTATAAACCAGAGGTAAGCATTCTCTTTAGCTGTAGACACTAAATGAAGTATAATATAAAACATACAATGCAAAATTACCATGGGATAAGTAATTTCTCTAAAAGGGCTTTTACTATTTAGGAAATTTCCATCATACTGCAAAGGTGCATAACAGTAAGATGACTGTATAATATTCATCTTTTTATATATTTTCAACAACAAATACTGGTAAATTAGAATATAAAAAACTAGTTATAACATGCATTGAGTACTACTGGAAAAATAAAGAGCAGAATAAACTTCAATTTGTCTATATATAGAAAAATAAATGCCCAAGACCATTAGATAAGTGGATAGAATAGAAAGTTAATATTAACAGAATGCAAAAAGAATTTGTTGTAAATGTTTGTAATTTCCTGTTTCATATAATAACAAAAGGAAACCTGTGTTAGTAACAGACTAAAATTTTTAAAAGTGTTTATTCTTGTCTTTAAATTATAAATTTTTATTAATAATAATGACTGAAGTGACATGTTCTACAGCCACTGGCTTCTATTAAGAGGTGAAAATGAATAGTTACAGGAAATTTTCAGTTTTAAAGGAGAACACAACATGGTCACTTTGAGATTGAAAGAAAATGAAATCTAATGACTTCAGCATTGCCAAGAGTTGTGCAGTGAATACATAATGCAAGAAGCAAAAATTATTTTCCCTTAATGAAACTTCAGAACAGAATTCATATTTTTAAAAATGACGTTCATTTGTTTCTATAAAACGTTAGTTTATGAGTCAAGTTTCTGAAGGCTTGTTTTACCTGCTCATTCCTCAAAGTATAAATAAAAGGGTTCAACATGGGAGCAATTGAAGTATTAAGGATGGCTACTCCCTTGGTCAATGAAGCTCTTTGATTTGCTGAAGGCTTGACATACATGAATATGCAGCTTCCATAGGAGATGGAGATGACAATCATGTGAGACGAACAGGTAGAGAAAGCCTTTTTCCTCTGATTGGCAGAAGGGATTTTCAGAATGGTGCGAATGATACATATATAGGAAAGAATCACCAATGCCAGTGTGAACAGCAGAGTAACAAAGGCAAAGTAAAAGCCAATCATCTCTAAGAACCACGTGTCTGAGCATGAGAGTTGTAAGATGGGGAAGTAATCACAAGAGAAGTGATCGATGACATTGGAAGCACAGAAATCCAAGTGGAGGATCAGCATGAGTGGTGGGAAAATGGTCAGAAATCCTGCCAGGCAAGAACTTAAGACCAGAAGCACACAGATTTTCTTATTCATGATGGTGGTGTAGTGGAGAGGCTTACAGATGGCCACATAGCGATCGTAGGACATAGCTGTCAAAAGAAAAAATTCAGACACACCCAAGGAGATGAAGAAAAATAACTGAGCTAAACAGTTGCTGTAAGAAATGGTCTTGACTTTAGTAATTATTGAACACAAAAATCTTGGGATGGAAACACTGGTGAATGTAATTTCCAAGAAGGCGAAATTTCGGAGGAAGAAGTACATGGGAGTCTTCAAATGTGGGTCTAACAATGTGAGAATGATGATGGTGAGGTTTCCAGTGATACTTAATATATAAGTTATAAATAAAAAGATAAAAATTACAGCCTGAAGTTTTGGGTTGTCTGACATACCCACGAGAACGAACTCGGTAATCACTGTGTTGTTTCTCATACTGAGTTTTTTCTTTCAAAAGTATCTATTGCTGAAAAATGAAGCAAAATAAACTGTGTTTAATATGAAAGATTTGAACTTTTAAGTGTGGTAGAAAATATCTCCAATGAAGTGAAGCAGTGGACTTTATACCTGTAAGAAATTTTGTGGTTTCTAGTCCTTTATGTCACAAAATGGAATCTTACATTCACTAATCATGTTTAAAATTCCCTCATTGGTAATTTTTGCAAAAGTCTCTTTGTATAATCAAATTTTCTTCATGCCCAATATATCTTTGAATTACAACCTTCTATAATAAAATTAAAACTTTTTATCCAGCTTCCAAATTTATGAATTTTAGTAGTGAAAGATATTTTTTAATTTGATATCACTTAAAAACTTACACAATTTTTTGGTAGAAATTGAAGACAAAATTACACTAACAGTTTAATACTAGTGATAATTTTTATTCTTATCATTTATTCTTTTAAGCATGATCATGGGAATAAAAGTGATTGGAATAAAAAAGATAGAATTAAAATCGTCTAAACAGTAGTAAATTTATTTTATTGATAAGAAAAAAATACTAGAGACATTAAAACTAACAAGCTCGATAATAAAACCACTGCTGTAGTTTTATGTTCACTGTTTAACAATTGACTATTTTTACTATACTCAGTTGATCATTTTGTTTTTAAATCCTTCTGAAGACAAGCAGTAAATTATAAAGTAATTTCTTGATGTCAAAATATATAATTACCTCCTTCCTGAAATTAGCTAATAAGAATAAAGGAGAATTTTTTTCATAGAATTTCTTTTATAGAAACCAAGAAGTCTAAACTGTAATCTTTAGGACTTTTGCCTGTCCTGGTCTATCTTTATAATGAGTAAAATGCTTTCTGTATGTAATGTGAGTACTTTGTTTCTATAGCAAGAACTGAATGGTTTGGTGGGTGATCTAGCAGTGTTGATTAAAAATTTTTAAAAATCTCTTTTATTCATTTTATCTTTCCATACAAACAGAACATTGCTCTAACAGAACTGTAAAACTCTATATTGTAACCCTGAGAATTCATGAGTTAAATTTCCTGGAATTACCGTTTTAAGATTTTTAAAGATAAAATATTTAGAATTTTTCTAGATAAATAAAGACCAAATGGTACATGAGATAGCGTAAATTTACCTTCTCTTCTTGTTGAATGTATCACAAAGTAACTAGATTGATGAGATAAAGGATGCAAATAGAGTAACTTCATGAGACACAGAGATGCCATTACATGTCTTTCTATAAAGCCAAGCTATATAGTGAGAGAAAAGCAAAAGTACACCAACCAGCTAGTACAAACAGCCTGGCTCCCCTCCAGCTGTACTTAATTTCTCTAATATACACTTGGACTCTGGATATACACAAGGGATAATTTCCTCTCAATTCCTTTAGGATTGGTAAAATTCAGAATTGAACTATTCCAGAATTGGACTCCTCTTTGAGGGTGATGTTTACTCATGTGTACATCTCTGGCAGTGCAGAGTGGAATAAAGGAGTAAAGTATTTTAAATACTTTTCTAAAAATCAAAAGAGCAATCTAAGCTTCAATTTTTCATTTTTATTGTTCAAATTAATGTTAGTGTTATAAGATTCACTTGTCCAGCAGCACATAGTATGTCACATGGAATCATCCTTGAGTTTCCAGTCAAGCTTACAGTTTCATTCTTATTCTCAAATTAACCAGTATGAAACATTTATAGTATGTTTCATCTGATAGCTTTTTCTATGCATTTAACCAAAATCATAGCTACATTTATACTCTCAGGAAGCACTATGAGTTTCTAAATAGAATTCATCCTTTTGTAACAATTGCATAAAATGCCATAGAAGCCTGATATATAATTTAGAAATTTGTTTAGGCAAGTATATTACTGTCACATCATTAGATATAATACTACTGTATATTCCTATGGTTTTGTTTGCATATTTATAGTTATTATCATAATATATATGAAAACTAACTTTTGATAGATATTTCATTGTACTCCTCCTACAGACAAGAATAAGTGATGCTCATTGTACACGAACCAATAATAAATATCAAAAGTGTTAAAAATTTCAAAGCTAGGAGAAAAAAATATTTAATAATAAAGATAATATCATCATTCACACGTTAGTATCCAGATTTTGATGCTAACCAAATGTAAAATTGAAATATTTATTTGACCTTTCTGAATATTATTTTGCCATCTATAGAATGAAAAGACTGATAACTAACTCATAGGAGATTGCAAAGAGTAAATGTGATAATGTATAAACATCATTGAGTTTATTATCTCATTTGTTAGTAAGAAATATTTAAATATATCAGACTCAAGTGTTGCAATATATTTTCAGGGAATTTCTTATTTTTAATTTTTTAAATGGTGTTATTCAACTCAAGAAGACTGATAAATAAACACTTTGAAATCTTGGTAGACTATCCTGCAGACATCTTTTTTTACATACCTCAAATTTAGATAAATATTCATTTACGCTTAATGCTTCTATGATTGTGCTTTTTACATTTACATCTGTAATTTATCTGGTTACTCATTTTTATTAAGTTAGATGGTAAAATTTAGATGAAATGATCATATTTATCATAGAGAACTTGAACTAATTATTTTTATTTGTATTATCGGAAATTGAATTTATCACCTTTCACATTCCAGGCAAGTGCACTACTACTGAATCATGGCCCATCTAGCCCCAAAGCTTACTCTTGTGGGAACATGGATCTTTTATCTGCATTTTGAACTGGTGGGCAACTTTTTTAGCACAATAAGACTGGAGACAATGCAATAATCTGGGTAATGAGTTGTTAGCCACCAATGTTAGGCTCTGTTAGTGACACTTGAAACACAACATTTTAGTAAGATCCATGTGAATTCTTTCACTGGAAATAGAAATGAATATTTTAAATACAATTGATCTGAGACACTTGAACTTCTCATTTTCGGTGCTAAAACAGAGCTGCTTTTTTGCAAAGCTTGTGATGTCCTCCTAACACTTCACATCATTTTTCCTCAATCTTTATTTTCCAAATTCCAAAATACCTGTAAATTTTGTTAATTTGTTTACTTTAGTAATCTGATACATTTTTTACCCCCCCCACACACACACACACATTCACATATTTACTTAGCCTCTCAGGCATGGTAAGAATTGTTGTTCACCTTCATTAACTGTTACATATCGATCAATTCTATTTCAATTTTATTATTTAGAGCAATATTCTATGATTCTTTGATTTTCCTAAACTCAAATGTTTCTATACTGCTCTATGGCTAGTGTCTAATGCATTGGATATCACAAGTTATATATCTTTTCTATTAACGAAACTATGTTGAACAGTTTTAGGGAAAAAGTGGTTTCTTCAGGCTGTGTCACCATCATTTTGATCTCATGGAACTGACACCATTTTTGTAGATGATAATCTTTTTTCTTCCTCCCCACACAGAAAATCAATTTCTCTCTCTCTCTCTCTCTCTCTCTCTCTCTCTCTCTCTCTCTCTCTCTCTCTCGCACACACACATCGGCAAACATAAATGCAAGTTTATCTAACATTTAGGTAATCCTCAAAATATTTCATTTGCAAGCCAAGATTAGGTACTCACTGAAAACTTCATAACATTATACTATTCATTTTCAGTTGACTTGTACACAATTACTTATACCTGTGCATATTTATTTTCATTTTAAAACCTAACTAACCAGGCCACAGGATTTAGCTTAGTGGCACAAGCACCTTCCCAGTAAGCACAAAGTCATTAAAAGTATGAAAAAAAAAAGCCTACTAACCTTGATATAGTAGGCTTCAAATAATTCATATATTCAGTGCCGAGTAGAGAGATATGACAATATTAAGCTGAATTTTGATGTATTACTTATCTATTAGTGCATTTGAATTACTGATGAAATTTTGTTTAAAAGCTTTGCAAATATTCTCATGAGAAGTGTAGGACTATGTATATTTTTCTTAATTTGTCTTGGTTACTTTTTTCTCCTTGTTGAAACAAAATGCCTTATTTGCCCAAAATGAAGGAAGGAAAGATTTCTTTAGCTAATAGTCTTTGGAGATTTCAGTCCATACTCAGCTGGCTCCAAGGCAGGGTGACCTGACTCGGGTAGCTGTTTATGGTGGCCACAAGGAAGAAGAGTGAAAAGGGAAAAAAGAAGCAAAGTCTAATTCCTTTCCTACCCTATATTGTATGCTGGCTTCCCAACTCTGGTGAATGCAGCACTCACACTGCCAATCTCAGCAGTAGACAACAAACCAATCACAAATGCTAGACTCAGCAGCCTCCATGACTGCATGAGGCTTCAGGACACCTGACACAAACCATAACATTTCATCCCTGGCCCCCCAAAGACTCATGTACTTCTTTTGTATAAAAAATATTTAGTCTGTCTCCAACAGTTGCCAACATTCTAACAGTTTCAGCATTGCTGCAAAATTCAAGTCTTAAGTCTCCTTTGAGATCTAAGGCAAACTGTTAGTTGTAACCCTCTGCACAAATGAAAAGAAAGTTAAGTATTTTCAACATATAGTGGTGCAGGATAAACATTGCCATTTTTAAAAGGTACAAATTGAGGGATACAAAGATTTAGAAGCAAAACAAGTCCAAAATGCAGCAGGGCAAACATTAAGTCCTGGAGTTTCATGCTCAGCATTTGAAGCAATCTTCTTGCAAGATACAAAGGTCTTGAGTGACTCCACCACAGAACTTCCAGCAGTTTTAGCTCCCAAGGCTTCTCTTTTAGGCCAGCTCTACTCCACGTCTTGCGGCATTTTTTAGATAGTCCACACTCCTGGCTTTTCCACAATCTGGATTTTCTATTGCCCTCTCACTGCTTCACGCACTGCCCTCTTAGGGGCACGCTGCCTGGTTTCCCAGGCCTTCTGAAATTGGAGTGGAAGCCTTTATAACCTCAGAACTCATGCATTTTCCATGTGCCTACAACCAGTGTCATGTGGATGCTGCCAAGGTCT